AAGAAGGGTCTAGGCCCGAAACGTCAGCCTTCCTGCTCCTCTGATGCTGCTTGGCCTGCTGTGTTCATCCAGCTCTACACCTTGTTATCTCAGATTTTCCAGCATCTGCAGTTCCTACTATCTCTACTTTTTGTACTTGTTGGTTTGTAAAGCCTGTGCTTAAATATGCTTTGTTCCCTTTTGTAGCTATTCAATAATAACGTGGGAAGTCCTTTCAAGAAAACAGCCATTTGAAGGTTAGTTCCATTCAGTTTTCATTTCAGACCTTCTGCTGACTTTATGCTCTAAAACTGCACTTTATACATTTGAATCCACCAATTTCTAGCAATCAGTGGGTTTAGTTATCAGGAAGAAAGGGAAAACAATTGGAACCATAGGCCAGTCAGCCCGAAATCAGTAATTTAGAGAAAGCTGGAACACATCAGTAAGGAACGGTAGCAGAACACTGAGATGGCTGTTGTGGCACAATGGTAGTGTCCTTACATCTGATGCAGGAAACCCATGTTCAATCCTACTGACCCCAGAGGTATATGCCAGCATCTCTGAGCAGGTTGATTGGTCAATATCTTAACAGGACAATTAGGAAATCCAAATATGGCTATGTACAGTCAGTATTATTCTATGAAAAGGAAATCATGTTTTATGTATCTGTTATGAGTTTTTTTGAGGAAGTTACTAACAGGTTAAGGAGGAAAGAGTATTTTTAAATTATCATTCGGCATTCAGTAATGTGCCGTACAAAAGCAGTTGCACAAGATAAATGCCCATGGGTCAGAGTTCTTTGTTTGCATAGATAGAGGTTTGATTTAAAGGTAAGTAAACACAGTAGCAACAAACCAGTTACCTTCAGGTTTCAGGCTATTGAAGTGCTGCTAGTATCGGTGCAGAGAGTTAGTAATTTACAATCTGTTAATGACTTCGATGAAGGGATGAAGTAAAATGTATCCAAGTTTGCTGTTATAACGCAAGATGTGAAAATAATGTGAGTTTGCAATTTGAAAAGTGTTATTGATGTGTTACATGAATGAATAAGAAAATGAGATGGAATATTGTGTAAGGAGATGTGAGGTCATTCGCTTTGATACATTAGAAACATAGAATATTTTGTAAATGATGAAAAAAGTTATAAAATTGTAAAATGTTATTCAGAAGGATTTGGATCTCCTTGTATACAGAACACAATTAATATGAAGGTATCGAAAGCAATTAACAAGACAATTGTTGACCTTTTATTACTAGGGGTTGGAAGGCAAAAGTAGAGAAGTCTTGCTACAATTATATAAGACTTTGGTGTGTCCTCACCTGAACTACAATGTGCAGCTTTAGCCTCTGTACGTAAGGAAAGATATACTTATCTTCGAGGAGGTGCAGCAAAGATTCACTCATCTCCTTCCGGATATAAGACAGTTGACCTATAAGGAGAGATGGAAAATGATTTTTCTGTGCTCTGAATGTTGGGAGAATGCGACATAATCTCATTTTAAATATAGATTCTGAGTGTTTTGACGAGGGTGATGCTGAAAGTCTGTGCCCTGCTGCTGGAGACTTGAGTGTATAATCTAGGCCAACATTTCAGCAAAGTATTGAAGGAAGTGCTGTCTTTCAGATGAGGTGTTAAGCCAAAGCCTAGTCCATGCCCTCAAATGCCTACCATGCTATTTGAAGATGCATTCACCCAGTGTTCAGGCTAACATTTGTTCCTAAGTCAACATCACCCAAAACAAATTGTGCAACGTTTTTTTTATTCCCATTTAAGAGATCTCACTATGTGCAAATTGACTGCTGCATTACACCAGTGAATTTTTAAATGCTTTTAAGTACATCATTCGCTGCAAGTGCTTTGGAAATCTGAAAAGTACAATTGTGCTATTCATTAACTTCATTCTTGTTATTTGAGGTAGTTTAAAAAATTGCATTGTTTAATTACAATATTTCTGACTTATGTGCAACTATGACCATTTGATGCTTTATTGTGTATTTTGGTAACAGTGAACTTTTCAATCACTGAATCATGTTGATAATTTAAATGAAATGTTTGCAAAAGACAACTTCTATCCAGTACAGAGTATTTATACTGTAAGAGAAATGTGATTTTACAATTATACTTTTTCCCCATTGCGTAACTTTTTCACATTTTGAATGTAAAATGTTTTCCTTTAGCTAATGTTAAGATGCTGAAAATTTCAATTGATATGAAAAAGTGTTAGCTTACGCTATGAGTCAAGTTTCACCTCTGTAATTCTCTCTCTCCCAGATGCTACAAACCCAGTGCAGGTCATGTTCAGTGTGCTGCAGGGTTCCCGACCTGACACCAGTGAGGAGAGTTTACCATTGGACATCCCCAACCGGGAAACACTACTTCGGCTAATGACTAGCGGCTGGTCTCAAAACCCCAATGAACGGCCTTCCTTTATTAGTAAGTTGTTGCAAATGTGCAGTTTGTGAGGGAAATAAAACATTGTTGGGTGATTACAATAACATGGTCCCAACGTAGGGTCCTTAAATCACTATCAACTGCTATTCTTCAACTCTTGCCTGATTCAGTCACAGCTTGGTTCACATTGTTATTGTATTAGTTTAAACAATATTCCACTTCTACTAAATTGTAGACACTTGATGTGGTTCCTGGCAGCATGTGTTTCAATAAAATTCACTTCTGCAGCAAAACAAAACCATAATACTCCTACTATGGAATTGGTGACTAGTTCTCTTGTGTCAGAATCCAAACTGCCTCCTCCTTTTCACAGTGAATATCCTTTTTCTTTTATATTATTAATTTTGTTAGCCTTCTCATTTAAAAAATATAGTGAAATCACCATAGTTCCGGAGAGCTGTTCTCTCATTAGAGAGAGAAAGATGACTGGTGGTGCTGTAACCTGAGGGTGACCATTGCTCAGGTGAGGGGGCAAGATTAAGTGAGTGGTCAAAAAGTTGGCAAATGGAGTATAATGTAGAAAAATGTGAAGTTGTCCCTTTTGGAAGGGTGATCAAAAGAGCAGGAAATTATTTAATTGGAGGGAATTTTTAGAAAGCTGAAACACAAAGGGACTTGGCGATACTTGTGCTCGAAACACAGAAAGTTAGAACACAGATGCAGCAGGTGATCAGGAAGGCTAATGGAATGCTGGCACTTATTTCAAGGGGGTTGAAGTATAAGAATAGGGAAGTCTTACTAAAACTGTAAAAGGTCTGATGGACATCCTGCAGCCAACCTTCAATCACTCATTCTGCAGAATGAGGGTCACCTTGCGAGCAAGGGCTTTCCCATCCATGAATATAACCTGGCTAACCCTGTTGCAACCAGAGTCTGACAACACTAGCTCAAGTCTTGCTCAGGTATCAAGTGCAGTACCCTTCCCATTACATACTTCCACTGCATACCAATAAGGTGACATTGCTCCATCACCAGATTGAATCTGTTGCTGTGCCTATGATAGCTTTCCTTTTCCAGCATTTCTGCATCCAGCCAATCACCATCCTCTAAAGTTGCAGGTATTTTCTCCCTGATGTTTTAAAACAACTAGTGAACCATTTTCACTTTACAAATTTCAGCTAAATTGCCTTTCATTGTCTCCTGTATGATATCTTTAATGCCGACTGAACCTCACTTTAGATGTCAATTCTGATTGTGTTCAATCTTAAATTTCTATGATGTTTTACAACTTTCAAATTAAAAAATAAATATCTTCCTGATTTCACTTGCTTTTAAATTCCTTTGCCCAGCACATTTCTATTATCCTTTGAGGCAGAAAAGCCACTTCCTCCTGAAAGTTTTGTCTCTCTTAAATCCACTCACGTATTACTCTGTCCTTGTCAGACCAATCTAATATCTACAATTTCCTGCAAACTGAGTCATCAAGCTATGATTCCAAAATACGTTGATTTAATGCAATGTCATGATTGAAAGTTTTATTGAAAGAGGTGGCATAATCACATTTGACCTTATTAAAGACTTGTTTTCTTAGCCATACATTTTGCTGCATATTTGGAAAAAGAGCCTTCAGAATATTTGTGTTCCTACTGGTGATTAAATCAGCTAAAACAAACATTCCTGAGCACTCTATCACTAAACTAGGTTGAAAATGGAATCAGTTATGCAGCAGCACTTAACCAAGATCTGTGGAAAATATTATTTAATTTATAGGCTGCTTTTTTTGTTTGCATTGTGATTAAAATGTCTTTTTTTTACATGGGTAAACTTGGCCTTCTGTATATTAGGGAACTGTTGAACCGCAGATATTACAGAATTTGTGGTTATCTGGTCAGCATGGCCTGAACTGTTGCTCATCACAATGGAGAATGGTATTGGAAGAACACTTGCAAACATTCCCTTTTTTTTGTACTATTTAGAACTTCTTTTACAAAGTTGTTTATTTTTTAAGTGCGTGTTTCCAACCCTATAGTGCGCCAAAGCCTTGGGAAATGAAATCTATTTCTAATTATGGTATATTCACCAAAAGAGAGTCTCCCACTACCTGCTTTGTCGCTAAGATTATCTATTTCAAGCTGTGTAGCATTGCCTGACTTCATCCCTGCCTCAGCTCATCTGCTGAATCCTTTGTTTGATCATCTGTTATCTTGAGAGGATTCAGTCCTCCTGACTGGGTTCCTAAAGCCTACCCTCCACAGAATGGAGACAGTAAGGGCTGCAGATGCTGGAAGTCAGAGTCAGTAACTGTGGAGCTGGAAAGGTACAGCAAGTCAGACGGCATCTGAGGAGCAGGAAAGTCAACATTTCACGTTGAAACCTGACCTGCTGTGCTTTTCCAGCATAGAATGGAGGCCATCCAAGACTCTGCTCATATCCTATCCTTCCTTATACAATGGGATGAACTAGCTGGCCAGCATCAGGAGCCTTCTGAATTAAGCGCCTAGGCAGGTGGAAATCCAACAAAACCCCTGCTGGTTGGTCTCTGGGTGGGAAGGGTTGACTATAAACACAGCCCAGTCTAGTTAGAGAGGGGCTGGAAGGCAGCGGGATCTCCATTCAGCACTGTCCCACCCCTCACACAGGCCTCCCCACCTCTGAGGTGGTGTTAAACTTTGCTGCATGTCTCATTCACCCATCACCACTATACTCATCAAGCAATGTTTTGATTTAAGTCCATATCCCAATTTTCAGTTCCCTCTCTGACATTGCCCTCCCTATCTCTTCAATACCTCCCAACTCCATAACCCTCTAAGCTAATTCTGGTCTTTTGAGCACCTCTGATCACCTTCATTCTACTGTTGGCTGTGCTTATCCCCAAGGTCTGGAATTCTCTGCCTTCAGTCCCAGAGATGGAGAGTCTGGAAATGGGAAGGCAATTTTAATTTTGCAGAGTGGTGGCATCCCAGACCTTGCCAACTACCTACCTACTTCCATGGAATTAAGTTCTGTGCAGGAAGGCTCAAGCTCAACCTTTCCATTCCACCCACAAATTGAAGCCGTTAAATGATTAGTTGCGATCATATTTCTGCCTGGGCTGCAATTATTTCAACCTCAGGAGAAACAAGAAAGAGTTAGCTCACCTGACTCATCTAGCGACACACACACACACAGACGCGAGTGCAGACGAGATTAGACATTGGGCAGGTGAGTGGCTGCAAAGAAGATCAATGCAAATGGTCTGGCTTTTAAACCAACGAAAGATGATAGAAATGTCATTGCTCAAATATAATTTACATGGGGAAATTCTTTCACTTTTACACTGGTGTAGATGATTTCAGATGAATTGCACTAAATTAAACTAGTGCAATCTCTTTCTACCTCATACCTCTGTAATTGTGTCCAGGTGAATATCTCTAGTTCAGTAAACAAGATTTTGATTAAATATTAGGTTTCAAGATTTTAAGACAAAATGAATACTCATTAATCTGAAACCTCTTTCTGTTTATAAAGAATGTCTCATGGAATTGGAACCAGTGGTTCGAGCATTTAATGAACTGACCATACTTGAAGATGTTTTATACCTTAAAAGAGTAAAAGTAAGTGGATTTTGCATCTTTTTTCATTCTGATCTATTTTTAAAAGTGGAATGCGCTTCTATGCTAATTGCCAGGATGAGTAAGTAACAGTTAGTTTTTTTTTTAAATTAGCCCCTGCTAATTAACCCTTGTGGCCATCAGATTCCAAGTTGGACTTGAGCTTGGATCTTGAGGCCCAGAGGTGGGGGCGCTATCCTCTGCTGCAATTATGTTTTTTAGGTTAATTTTTAAATGAACCTGTTCGAATGTTTCATCGCACATCTCCATGGCAGGTTTGACTTGAACCCAGACCTTCAGGTCCAGAGGTTAGAGACATTATCGCAGTGTCACAAAACCCATGGATTATAATTAGGTTTCATGTTGGCAATTATAGATAACATGTAATTAGTGCTGTATTCACTTGAATCAGCAGCTTGTTTTAGTTTGCTCAATGCACTAAAATATTAGAACAAGCAATGTATATATTTCCCCCTAGTTGGGGGAGAGGCGGCAGATAGTGCCCTATGGTGAGATATGACGTTGCAATTTTGATAGGGGGTGCCCAAGAGGTGTTTTGGGAGAAGAGTAAAGGAAAAGTAAATCTGGATACTTGCCTTATACTGAATTAAAAGAATGGAGCTAAAGGATACACAGATTAACATGATAAAAGCTAACTTTACAATTCACCAGGACATTCTCCTTTGCTCAATGAATCCATTTAGTACAATAGAGGCAAAAAACAGGAGTCCTCTTAGAAACAGTTCAATCTAGTAGATTGGAAACATTGTTATTTGTAGATTGTGAAAGCAAAATGGGTGAATGGCTTTACTCATTTGTAATTATATTGTAACATGGTGCAGTCTTGTGAATATCATTGAATGGAGTTCTACTTGCGGATGCATTTTAAAGCAATGTAAAAGTTAGTCGAGGGCTGCATGTCTAATATCTTGGATAAAAGTTGGGCGCAGCATCAGAATAAAGATTTAATCCAATCCAATACACATTTAAAGTTGTATTACTTTGCCGTCTGTGAGGGATGCAGAAACAGAACTCAGTTGCTGATGCCAACATGAATCACTAACCTACTGTCAATATGGTTTTTTTTATTCATTCATGGGTTGAGGACAGCATTGGCTAGGCCAGCATTTATTGCCCATTCCTAACTGTCCTCTGGGCAATTAAGTGTCGACCACATTGTTGACAGTCTGGAGTCACATGTAGGCCAGGTCAGGTGAGGATGGCAGTTTCCTCCAAAGGTCATTCGTGAACCAGATGGGTTTTTCCCAATAATTGACAATAGTCATCATTAAACTTTTCATTCCAGATTTTTATTGAATTCACATTTCACTGTCTGCTGTGGCAGGATTTGCACTTAGATCCCCAGAACATTACATAGCTCTCTGGATTAACAGGCCGGTGATTAATATCACTAGGCTGTTGCCTCCCGATTTTACTATTTAGTAATCTGGTAAAATTATTATTGAGTTATATTTAGTTCTTAATTTTTCTTTTGCAATTGTAGGTGAATTGTAATTCAAACATTTTTCCACCGTCATATGAAAAAGTCAACGGAGACTTGAAGTCACTTAATATACCAGTACAGGTAATAAGCATTTACTTTATCCCCAGAATCTCTGTTTAAAATGGTGTAGTGAACCTGAAGTAATTTTGTTAAGAATAGATCCTTCTATGAACTTATCATCAAAAAGCAGAAATTGCAGGGGAATGGACCATATTATTGTGGGCCTTGTTTTGCACAAATGATCGAATTATTTAATATTGAGGAAACAGTTGGCCCAGTTGCAACATTTTTTTTATATTATAGAGACTACGATACTGGGTTATGAAAAGCTGAAAATGTAACTAGAGAAATTAAGTATTGAAACTACAATAGTTTATAGCTTTGCACCAGAAGTGAACGATGCCTGTGTGTCATAATATGCTGATTTCCCCAAGTTTGGTTCTCCAGTTTATTGGTGCAGTTAAAGGGAGTTATTATGGGTGAAGATGTTGTAGTGATTTAATGAATAATGAAGCTCTGAGGCAAGCTATAATGTCATGTGACCTCAGTAGATAAGTGTTTGTGTTGTAGTGAAGTTGGACCCTGCATAACATAGATTATGTTGCTCTGTAACCTTACGCTGATGAATGGTGAAGCAATAAACATAGTTTAACAATTACTAAGTCATCAGGCCTGACCTTGTGGCAACACCCAAAGAACTCACGTGAGAAAATAATAAAACAATTGTGATGCTCCTTCAGTACTGAAGGAAAATTGAATGTGGAAACATCCCTAAGTTGCTGTTATTTCTAATTAGGTAAGGGTGCAGTTGATACGGGCACCACCGGGGAGGGCAAACCAGTATTTACCCAAAAGAGCACCATGTTCTCAGTAAACTATTCGAGGGAAACAAAAATCCTCACACATTCACCTTAGCTCATCTGCAGCTACTTTGTGACACCCATCATCCAACTATTCCTAGGTCTTTCTGCCACCATCTACTTTGTCTCCTAGAAGAGATCTGTAGCTCTGATCAAATGGCCAAAGTACTGGTGTTTTCTTTTCCGAATGTCAGTTTTACAGTTTTTTTCGCTCCTGCAGTTTTAAATACCTCTTAATTTGTCCATGGTCCGTAAAAGTTTACTTATTGTCCAGGTTTCTAATATGTACAGAAAAATGAATAGAATGCAGCATCTGAGATAGTAGGAACTGCAGATGCTGGAGAATCTGAGACAACAAGGTGCAGGGCTGGATGAACACAGCAAGCCAAGCAGCATCATAGGAGCAGAAAGGCTGACGTTTTGGGCCTAGA